CCTCCACAATCACATATAAGTGCAGACGCGGGGCAATGGAACGAGAGTGCGCCAAGAAGCATTATGGGTAGTAAACGAGTGCATACAATTAGATAGAAGGAATAAGTTCTAGTCCTCTACTGCATAGTAGGGGACTATAGTTAACAATAATGTATTATATATTTCAAAATAGCTAGGAGGTTTTTTGAATATTCTCGCTACAAAAAAAACTGATAAATGTGATTTGATGTTACACAAGGTTTACAGGTATCAAAACATCCCACTATACTCCACAGATATGTGCAATTATTATGTGCCCATTCAAAATATAAAGAGGAATAGCAGGGGTATGTGCAAATTCCACTTTTATGTACATGTGTATTGGTTTAGTGAGCTGGTTTAATGCTACAATTGACATGTATGAGTTTAGGGCAGGAGATATGTCTATTGAAAAGATTTGGTGGAGTCAAGCATGGTGCCATAGGACAGGAAGATCGTAAGTTCGGGCCAGCTCAGGCTACATAACCTTTCAAAAACACCCCCCCAAAAAAGAAAAAAAAACCAAGAAGAATTGTTGGGGCATGACTCAAGAAGAAGAGTGACCAGCACATCAATGTAGCAGAGAGGACAAACAGAATGAAGACTGAAAAGGATTTGGGAACATTTTGCTTTCTGGGCTTCTCTGAGGTGTCCAGGGAGCTGGGATGGAAAGCTGGAGCCAAGATTGGGGGCTAGATTTCCATCAAGGTGAAGTCAGGGACACCGGCAGTGGTGCCAGATGTAATCCAACTGCTTTTGCCTCACATCTTTTTTTCATTGTTACCTGGCTCCCTTCTTAGGGCTGGGCACATACATAGTAGAAGCAGAGTCCTAACAAAACTGCCAAATACTTCCCACTTTCTTTCCCTTCTAGTCTTTAAGTAGTCACCTGAGGTCCTATTGCTTAGACTTCTTTCAATCTACATGCTCAGCCAGAACGATCTCATTCTACCTCACTGTTTTTAAAACTATTAAGTTCTCTTAAAATTTCTTATCCATCTTCTGGGTATTCTTAACCCTGTGTCCCACTGTATTTGAAGCTCAGAGGCCAAAACTGAGCTCAATCTCTTCACTTCCTATACTCTTCACTTGCCTCATTTAATTGTAGCATCCCTGCCCACCAAAAGTTTTTAAAAATAATTCATAAGCACTCATTATCACTATTATTAATGTCATGACTGCCTTGTATTTAAGCCCTTGAGCTGAGCACTCTGCCAAGTCTTGTATACATATTACCTCATCTAATCCTCATAATAGCCTTTTATTATTAATAGCTTTTTGGGCACTGCTATTAGCTCTGTTTCAGAGATGAAGTGTCTGAAGCTCAGCATATTTAAGTACTCTCTCATGCTTTAAATAGTCGTTCCAGTTACATAAAATTGAATCCAGGTAATTTGACTCTGGATTCTGCTCTCTTGTGACTATATTTTGTTGTTTCTTTGCTCTGCTGAGTTTTTCTTAAAAAAAAAAAAAAGTCTCACAAATCCAGCTCTCCCTCGGGCTACAGTTATACAAGATTATATACCTGGGATCCAAAAGCAGATGGATTTGCACTGGAACCCTGGGACCCCTGCCTGCTGTGTGCCTGTGGACAAGGTACCTGCCTTCTTGTTCTCATTGGTAAAAAGGTACATTCTAGCTACACCACAGGCTAATTTTAGGAGTTCAATTGAAATAATATAAAAAAACAAAGCACAGAATAAAACCTTAGGTAATCTATGGAAAAATTTATATATGTGCTTCCTTTTATTGTCAGTATTCTACTGCAGTATGAACTTGCAAACATTTTCGCTTTGTTTTTATAGATTTTTAACTGGTCTCTGAAATAAAACAAATTAATTTTTTCCATGCTTGTCAGGATTATTTTTTGTAAAGCTAAATCTGATCATCCCATTTCTCTGCCTCCAAACCTCTGATGTTACTCTTTTTTGGGATTGCCTTTGATGCCACACTGCTTCTTATTTAGCTTCTTAAAACTAGAATGACATGTACTACTTGTTTCTCGCTTATTTCCTACTCCCTAAAGAGGCATCGTTTTCATAAACATCACACTTATTCTTTCATGGACACACCAAGCCTTGTGATGCCTTTGGGCTTCTTTGTGTTCCCTCTTTCAGTATTTGCCCCATTTCATCTGGAAATATTCTACTTGTATTTCAAGACCCAAATCTCAGGATGATTGCCCCTAAGTCAAAATGCCTCCCCCCACCCCATGCTGAGTACTTTATCAATAGTATTTATCACATTAAACCTGCAATTACTGAATTGCAATTACTTTCTCCAGGGAAAAGTCCGCCTCTGAATAAAAATCAAATTTAGTGCATTGTAGTGTCTCTAGTACATTGTAGACAGTCCATATATAATAGTTGAATGAATAAATCACTAAAAATGTGTTGTTCTTACATTCTATGAGGTCTTTCCACATACTTATTTTAATCACATTATCATGATATATGATCATAAAATTGTTTGATTATAAGAAGCTGACTATTATTGTTATCAAATAAGCCTCATTAAACCTCTTCCATGTTTTCACCAGTTACAAAACTATAAAAATACACAAAAAAACCCCTTTTTTTTTTAAAATAAAGGCTTAAGTGAGCACATGGATGTCAAGACCAAGGTAATTACACAGAGCATGATAATTACCTGCGGGTATTGGTAAATACATTGCAGCTTGGTAATTGTACTCCACCTCCAGTTCAGATTAAAGTGTTCCTTAGTTTGCTAGGGAGGCTGCTATTTAACGAGTCAGCCTAAACCCTGAAATGAAAGGATTTCTTTGGGATTACAGTAGCCCCAAGTCTTTGTAGTTTCTATTCCTTCTTTTTTTAATGTGACAAGAACAATCAACTCAGATTCAGAGTTTTAAATAAGTAGTCTATTATTTCTCCTTGAAAACAATTGAACAAAAGCAACAAGGATGGATTGTTGGTTCGAAATCTAGAGCCATGCTAATGAAAAGTGATAATGGTACACGAAATCAATTGTGTCACCCCAGAAACCGAAAAAATGGAGACACCTGATTCATTCACTAGTTTTGGCTTCAAGTAACTTTCAATTATTTCCAAAAATAAACCCATCTGTAAAAGAAGAACATTTGCTGCCACAGAAACTATGTAGAAGAATTTGCCAGAGATTCTGAAGTCAGTAACAAAAAAGCAGTTGGGAAAAGGTTTTAAGAAAAAGCAACATCACCAAAGTTAGACTCAGATTTTTTTTTTTCAGCCCTATTTTCCAGGGCTGCTCCTGAAGTTCTGTTTGCATACTAATTATCACATTTAATTATAGTTATTGCATAATTTTCCCCTAACAAGACTGAGCTCCTATCATACAGGAAGCTTATTTTATTATTCCAGTATTCTTAGTGCCTTTACATATATATTGTCTAGGACATAATAAACTTTTAATAAATGTTTGTCAAGGAGACAGTACTCATTTGGATAAATATATGCTCTGAAGCTTAATGGATGACTCAAGGATACAGCATATGCTAAGGTTATTTCTGCTTTGTGCCCATTTTAAAGAAGAATCTTTTCAAAGCCTCTCAGCTCTGTGAAATAGGTCTTTATTGGAATCATACAGTATGTAACGTTTGTCCCTGGTCTTTTTCACAGTGTCTTGAAGGTTCATCCACCTGTGGCAGTACTTGGTTTCTTTTTACAGCTGAATAATATTTCATTGTATGTGTGTATTACAATGTGCCTACCTGCTCAGCACACTTTGGCAATTCGGAACAATGCTGCTAGAAACCAGGGCTGTTCTGCCCAGTATCATTGTAATGATACAAATATTAGCAGAGAATAAATGCAGGAATATTAACAACCATTATTTTGTGGCGGAGGGATTACATGTGAATCATTTTATATTATTTGGAACATCTCACATTAGAATTGATCAGACCAGATTCTATTTCTTCATATGTAATGAGGAAAATTGAGTTATTATAAAATATTGTAAAGCACCTAGAAACACTGAATTCATAGTTTTGAAAAATTTTTATACATCTCGGTTATGTTTATTTAAAACATTTCCCCCAATGGATTACATATTGGCACGAAACAGGCTTTTTTGTTTGTGTTTGCGTGATACACACTTAAGATGCATGTCCTTCAGCCATCCTCATTTTTTTGACACAGGGTCTCACTGTGCAGCCCATTTTGGCCTCGAAGTCGCAAGCCTCCTGCCTCATCCTCCTGAGTGACGGAATTACAGGTGTGCACCACCACACTCAGTCCACAGTTCCACTTTGCTGACTGTCATTTGGGCCAGTGCCAGTCAAAAGTTATTTGATTGTTTGAGCTGGTGACACCGCTTTGACTACGTACAGTTCTACACTATAACTCTCCCTCCAAGTTTCAATTCAAATAATGTTCCAAGTAGCGTACTCTCCAGCCCTCTGCCATAGCTCTCCTTTCTTTCCGTCCTGCTCTTCCTTTCAGCCTGGCTCCAAGGGTTGCAGACGCAACCATCCAGGTTCTCCATCTTAGCAACTGTGCGACAGGACCCAAAGGACTGGTGAACGACACAGGTTTCTTAGACACACCAAAGAACATACACTATGATCAGATTTTACCAAACAGATTTAAAAAAAAAAATCTCCTTTACTTCTAGAAAATCTTCAATTTTGAGATTCAGTTCAAACTTTGCCAAAAGTGCCCATCTTGGAAGCAGCAGAGGAGGCTCCTGTCTCCCTGAGAAGCCTGAATTTGCACCTGGCACCTCAGCGCGGGGATTTCGAGGGGCGCGGGGGACAGGGGTGGTGGGGGATCGGGAGGCCCAGCGCCCCCCAGGCCCCGCAGAGGCGCCCGCGCAGGTGTCGGGGGGCGGTGCCCGGAGTCGGCGAGGGGGGCGAGGCCCCTGGCGCGCGGGGGCCGGGGCAGGGGGAGTGGGGCTGGGGCGCCCGCGGCTCCTCCCCGACTCCTCCCCGGCTCCCCCGCCCCTCCGTCCCCCGTCCCTCGGTCCCTCCCTCCGGCGCGGGCGCTCTCCGAGGCCGCCTCGCCCGCCCGCGCCCGGCCTCCAGCGCGGTCTCCGCGCGCTCCCCCTCGAGCCTCCGAGGCGCCCGCGGCCGCGGCCCGGGGAAGATGGCGGCGACGGCGGTGGGGCCGGGGTCAGGTCCAGGTCCCGCACCGTGCGGGCCAGGCCCCTCCGCGGACGCGCGCCAAGGCGCCGCGCACCCTGCGCACCCCACGCTGCACCCCGACGAGGTGGCGGCGCGGCTGCAGCGGATGCGGCGGGAGCTGAGCAACCGCAGGAAAATCCTGGTGAAGAACCTGCCTCAGGACAGCAGCTGCCAGGTGCGGGGACCGCGCTGGGAACCGAGCTGGGGGGCCGTGGGGAGGACCGGGGTCCACGCCGCACGCGGGGCACCCGGCCTCGTGCGTCTCCAAGCCCGCAGACAGCCTGCCCGGGAGGGGGACGGATTAGGAAACTGAGGCTCGGAGAGGCGGAGCTTCGCGTCCAAGGTCACGGGAATCAGGGCGGTGGCCGCCAGGTCTGGCCCGCTGCTTCCTTCTCTGCCATCCGTGCAGGAAAGTGAGGTGCTCCGGCTCGGGTTTGGGGACCGAGGCTTTGGGAACGCCTTTCTAAGGGGCCAGAGTCCCCGCGGGGTCCATGGGCTGTGCGGTGGGGGGCGGGGTCGCGGGAGAGCTGGGAGATAGTTGGGCTGCAGCAGGAGCTCTTGACCAAGTTTGAGACAACTTTGTTCCCCCGGCCCGCCAAGGCCCCAGCGTGGAGACGTTGCGACTTTGCCTTGAGAGCCCGGCGGCCTCACTGCCAAGCCCAGTGCTGGAGGATTTGTGTCCCAGTGACTTCCATGGGGCTAAGAGGTGGCCACGCTGTCTTTAAACCCGATTAACTCTTGCTTTAGAATTAAAGACTCTAAATCCACTGAACTTTTTTTTTTTTTCTTCTGGCTGCAAAAGCTAAGTGCTTATTGTAGGAGAGCTAGAAGAGACAAAGAAAGTGTAAAGAAGAAAATGCAAATCATCTACATTTGGGATACTCAAAGATAGCCAGGTTAACCTGGGATGTGTAGTAGCCTTTCTTTTCCTGAGCGTAGGTATTCATAGGTATTTTGTTTTATCAAATGTATGAGATAATTTCATTGATTCTTCAGAGTTTCTTAATTGTCCAGATGTTCGTTCACAGATTTCAGATAAATAGCTTGAATTTATATATTGAGCGTGGTGGGCTGTCCTGGGAGGTGGAGACTTGGGCGAATTCACAGTTTCTCTTGCGACCAGCTGCATGGAATTGCAGGAGGGCTGGCTGTTGACAGTTGCATCTCTATTCTTCCAGGTGATCTATAAAATAATAACACTAATGCTCTATTACTGTGTTGTTAACCTTACATAGCCCCTCACGATAAATATGGTCACATATTCTCATAACTCATGGGGCTACTTGGTTGCAAAATGCAAAGTAGAAAGTCCTATTAATATTGTATCTCTCCATCCCCCTTTCAACTCTTTCCATTCACCATTGTCCACTTCCCATCTGTCAGGTTTTTGTGATGCTACCTGGTTTTTTGGAAGCTACTTCCCCTGTCCATGCAAATAGAGGATGGCCAGGGAACTCAGAGAAGGGAGGCTTGAGAGAAGCAGATGGCATTTCTGATAAACAAGCTGAAGAAACAGCAGCTCTGTGTGTAGATAATCCAGAACACTGAAAAGTGTCTTGATTTCCTTTGTAGAATGTCAGCTGTTTTTGTTATAACATTTCCTTTTGTTAATTCTAAAAATATTTAGATGCAAAATTCAAGTCAGTTCTGTCTATTCTTGCTGTTGGAATCTTTCATTTCTCTTAAAAGAGGTGGAAAATGTATCCAGGTGTCTTATGAAAGGAACAATTAAGTTACATCTGGTATCAGTGATGGAGACACGTTTGCTGAGAATTACACCTGTGAGTTTTATTTTTGAGATAGTCTTTCTATGATAAACTTATGTTTACCCTGAATCTTAGAATTCTCTGAAAAGTAGCAAGCATAAGCTAGCAACTCAAATGGTTGTAAGTCTATTACTGCCAAGTGAAGTCTGTTAAATTCTTAGGCTGTTAAACTCCTGCACCATGTTTTTGAGGGGCCCAGAGTTTCATCCAAAAGCAAAAGAAAGTTAAGAACACTTGTTTCCAGACTTGTCCTAGCATTTATCTTTTCTAAAGAACTGCTATAGTAAAATGTTCTTCATATTTCTGATATGTAGTTTTACAGTTTAAACAGATCAGAGTTAGATTACAAATAAGGTTTGCTTTAGTGTTAGTTTTTTTTTTCTTTCCTTATCATCTTCAGTACTTGTACAGGCTTTACTAGTTTTCTGTTCATGATTGTAACTATTAGTGGTCTGTGTTTTATAAGTAAGTAAAATAGGCCAAAGTTGGGGGGGGGAGGATGTTGGTGACAGTGGGAGGAGTAAGGATGTGGGGAAAGGAGGGTGAATATAGTACAAATTCTGTGTACACATGTATGTAAATGGAAAAATGAGATCTGTTGAAACTATTGCAGGAATGGGGTAGGGGTGTATAAAGGAAAATGATGGAGGGGGATATTCAAGTAGGATATATTTAATATATTGTAAAAATTTTTGTAAACGTCACAATGTATCCTCAGCACAACAATAAAAAAAAAATGGGTCAAAGTATGGTAACTTGTAAAAGCAATTAAAAGCCTTTCCTATAGATAATTTTGATTTGAGAATTGCTATTTTTATTGGTTCAGTAAAATTAAAATATACTTCATCTCCTTTTTTAAGTTGTAATGTTTTTATAAGTATGTTCTGCAAGATTTTTTTTTGTTCATATCTTTTACCAATTTCCCTTAATTCTAATGTCTTTTTTTTACTTAGTGGCTCTGTATTTTGCTGTCGACTTAGTAATGAAAGTTTAACTTTATTTTGTTTTTCTTTTTTAGCTAATAAGGCCTATATTATATTACCAGATCTAAAACTGTATATTTACCTCTGTAAAATGATTAATTTTATTCAATTATTAAGTAACCAGGTATTTGAAATGCTCTGTTTTCTAGAAGATAGTCTGTGTTTGTTTCTTCATTTATTTAGAATATCACATTAATAATCAAAGACATTATAACGCTAGTTCTCAAACTATGCAGTTATGTCTCTAGAAAAGCTACTGGTTAGTAACTGGATAGGTGGGAACCTGATAGGTTTTTCTTAACAATTCGGGATTTTCCTTTTTAAATATACTTTTCATAAATCAAATTTTTATTTCATGTCTGGTGTAACATTTATATTATACAACCTTTTAGTTTCTATGACTAAAATGCACACTGAAAGTATTATTCTTTTAAATGGAGCTTTTAGAGGTACATGTATCAAATGCCTTGTAGAAATATAAGCTCTTTAAAAAAAAAGAACACCTTTATATCAATGAGTTCTCAAAAGCTTTGTCATTGAATAATTACTGTGCCCTGTCTGTTCTGCCTCCCAAATGATTTGGAATCTTCTTGGCTTTCTTTGTTTTCACTGCTCAGCTCTGGGTCTGGGTTAGGTCTTTTTATCTCTTGCATAGATGATTGCAACTTTCTGGTTTGTCACCTACCACTATGGTCCTGTCTTTTATGGTTTAGCCTTCCTTCCCTTGAGAGATCCTCCCAAAGCCTAATTCTGATTATATCACTCTCCTGCTTTATAAAAATAATCAATCAAAGAAAAAAATCCCATTGGTTTCACATTCCCAGTACTGTTTCCCAAACTTTTCCTCAGATTTTTTTTGACAGTACTGGGGTTTGAACTCTGGGCCTTGTATTTGCTAAGCAAGCAGTCTACCACTTGAGCCACACCCTCAGCCTCAAGTTGCTTTTAATAGTAAGAAATAATGGATCTGAATTAGGCTCCTACAGAAGTGAAGTTACCTTGAAGATTTGTGTTCTGTCTGACAAAGTCATCTTAATTTTGTATTCTACTAGTAGCATTGACTTAATTCAAAAACTGATTTAACTCCCCTCAGTTTTTTTTCATAAACTTGACATTTGTGGAAGATGTACCATATTTATCCTATGACATTCTGTATTCCTATGTTACCATGGAGTTCGCAGACTTTATGTGAGAAGCATGACATGATAGAATAGAAACCTAAGATGCTTAGGCTTTTTGTGACTGGGCCCCTGCCTGCATTTGCAGTTGTAATTTTTACTAGTCCTGCCCTGGATTCGAGTCCAGCTTTATCAAGCTACCTGGATCACCAAGCACTTCACGCCACTGTGACTTAATATTTACAGTTACGTCTTTGAATGTTACTGTTTTGGGATGTAATTTTTTCTAGTGAATAATTCACAGTGAACAACATCGTTTATAATTACAATTATTTATAGGAAATAATTTGGAGTGAGCATAACGTTGTGAGCACTGGGCTCTTATTCAGACTAGCCATGGGTGCATGTGTGTCTATGTGTGTGCATAGTCTTTTGCAACTCTGAATTTAGAATTTTGATTAGTTAAGGTAATGTCCTAACATGTTTGTTGTTGCAGTTCTATAAACTGTTTATATTCTAACTTGCTTCTGTATTGAAAGCATTGTTATTGCAGTCTTTTTTTTTTTTAAATGTCTTGTGTGTGTACCTGTGTTTCTATTATGTTGTTTAAAGTCTGAAAAAGACTCAATTGTGAGTGTTCGGGACTAGCATTCAGCATCAGTAATAGAAGAACACACATTCTCTCATTTTGAGCATTAGAAACTCACTTCAAGGTCCACGTGGTGGTAGTTAATTGGGAAGCATGGTCATTAAGTGACAGAGTTGCATTTGAAAGCATACTGTTATCAGTTAGAACCTTTCACAATCCAAACCCACCAAATGGAGCAAACTGCTTGAGTGTATCTTGAGAAGCTACTTACTCCTTTTTTTCTTTTACATTAGTATAGAAACAATGGGAATTTCTCATATGCTGTGTCCTTCAATGTGGGATTTAAAAATATAGTCTAGGGGCTGGTAGAGTGGCTCAAGTGGTAAAGTAACTGCCTAGCAAGTGTGAGGCCTTGAGTTCAAGCCCCAGTACTGCCAAAAAAACCCCAGAAAACCTCTGTTTTCTTTAACAATATATTCAGTAATTACAGCTGCTTTTTAAAATGCGGCTATTATTCACCACTTTTTCCTGTTAATGTTAGGACATTTTCTCATTTTGTAATTATTCTTCTACAATCAAGAGTGCATTTTGCTTACTTCTAAAAATTACTTTTCTTAGCATAGTATATGCAACTTAAAAGCTATCCATTATATTGTTTCTAGTGTAATTACACAGAATTGAATTATGGGTTCTGCCTCTTTTCTGTGTATCTTATTTTC